GATTGGCCGCCCTCTACATGCCTCCCACTGGGGATCAAGCCTGCAACCTGGGCGTGTGCCCTTGACTGGAATTGAACTTGGGACCCTTCAGTCTACAGGCTGTAGCTCTATCCACTGAGCCAAATCGGCCAGGGCAATAAATAATTAGATTTTAAAATGTAAACTTTTTTTGATAGCAATTTGTTTTATTGGTTAAAAAACCTAAGCATATATACAAAATTAGGTACACATTTTTTTTAAAAAATATATATACTTTATTGATTTTTCACAGAGAGGAAGGGAGAGAGAGAGTCAGAAACAATCGATGAAAGAGAACCATCGATCAGTCGCCTCCTGCACAGCCCCCACTGGGGATGTGCCCGCAACCCAGGTACATGCCCTTGACCGGAATCAAACCCGGGAGTCCGCAGGCCGACGCTCTATCCACTGAGCCAAACCGGTCAGGACCAAAAAAGGCGTTTTTATATTTTGCACATTCATTCGGCTTCATCCCAGTATGAATTCTATGATATTCACTAAGTTCTCCCAGGTAAACACTTCCAACACTCCTCACATCTGTAAGACTTCTCTCAAGTATGAACTCTCTGATGTCGATTAAGCTTTGAGGAGTCACTGAATACTTTGCCACATTCTCTACATTTATAAGGCTTCTCTGCTATATGAACTCTCTGATGTCGATTAAGCATTGAGGAGTCACTGAACGCTTTACCACATTAACTACCTCATTAAGGTTTCTCTCCAGTGTGAACTCTCTGATGCTTAGTAAGGACTGAAGAGCTGCCAAAGGCTTTGCCACATTCTCTGCATTTATAAGGCTTCTCTCCAGTATGAACTCTCTGATGTCGATTAAGCTTTGAGGAGTCACTGAAAGCTTTGCCACATTCTCTACATTTATAAGGCTTCTCGCCAGTGTGAACTCTCTGATGCTTAGTAAGGACTGAAGAGCTGCCAAAGGCTTTGCCACATTCTCTACATTTATAAGGCTTCTCTCCAGTGTGAACTCTCTGATGCTTAGTAAGGACTGAAGACCTCCCAAAGGCTTTGCCACATTCTCTACATTTATAAGGCTTCTCTCCAGTGTGAACTCTCTGATGCTTAGTAAGGACTGAAGAGCTGCCAAAAGCTTTGCCACATTCTCCACATTTATAAGGCTTGTCTCCGGTGTGAATTGTCTGATGATATGTAAGGTCTGAGGATTTCCTAAAGGCTTTGTCACACTTTCCACATTTATATGGCTTGTCTCCAGTATGTCCTCGCTGATGATAAATAAGGTGTGAGGACCTGCTAAAGGCTTTGCCACATTCTCTACATTTATAAGGCTTCTCTCCAGTATGAACTCTCTGATGACAATTAAGGGATGATGCCATAATGAATCCTTTGCCACATTCTCTACACTTATAAGGCTTCTCTCCAGTATGAACTCTCTGATGATAAATAAGGTTTGAGGACCAACTAAAGGCTTTGCCACAGTCTCTACACTTATAAGGCTTCTCTCCAGTGTGAACTCTCTGATGGTTAGTAAGGACTGAGGAGCTACCAAAATTTTTGTTACATTCTGTACATTTATATGGCTTCTCTCTAGTATGAACTATCTGATGCCTAGTAAGGTCTGAGGACGTGCCAAAGACCTTGCCACAATTTCCACATTTATAAGGCTTCTCTCCAGTATGAACTCTCTGATGCGTAATAAGGTGTGAGTGCCTACCAAAGGCTTTGCCACATTCTCTACATTTATAAGGCTTCTCTCCAGTATGAACTCTCTGATGCTTAGTAAGGACTGCAGAACTGCCAAAGGCTTTGCCACATTCTCCACATTTATATGGCTTGTCTCCAGTATGTCCTCGCTGATGATAAATAAGGTGTGAGGACCTGCTAAAGGCTTTGCCACAGTCTCTACATTTGTAAGGTTTTTCTCCACTATGGGTTTTTTTCATTTTATTTAGATTGAATACTTGACTGGAGATTCTGTCACAAGGATTCCATTTGTCAGCCTCTTCCCCAGTATGAACATTCTCTTGTTCAGTGTAATGTGAAGACTGCTGAAAAGACTGGACACATTTACTTCCTCTGTGTGTCTTCTCCACAACAGGAATAACCTGATGTATATTGTGACTGGACATTTGCTCAAAGACTTTTTCACCTTTACAATGGTCCTCTGCAAGCTCACTTGTCCGATGATTACGATAAGACTCTTGCTTAAAATTTTTCCAGTGTTCAATCCATTGATAAGTGCTGTCTCCTTTATGTGTACTCTGGTAATAATCGGAGATAGAAAAATCTTTAGTGAGAGTTATAATTTCATTAAACCTGTACACTCATTTCATAAGTACCATTTTGTGATATTCATTAAACCAAGATGGCTGTATAAAAAAAGGTTTCCTAATTTATTGAATTTAT